AGAGAGAGAGAGAGAGAGAGAGAGAGAGAGAGAGAGAGAGAGAGAGAGAGAGAGAGAGAGAGAAAGAAAGAGTGAGACAGTGAGAGAGAGAGAGCAGGTAAGTTTCCAACATTGGCATAATCGACCTCATGGTACTCCATCCATTTGATTAGAAAAATCGAATGGATCTACGGCTAGAACATGGAAATATGCACTGCCAAAAACAAAAAATTTCCATTTTTTTTCTGAAGAACCACCCATAGTCCGCCATGCGTGCATGCGGACGGGCGGGTCGCGTTCAACCGATTCACGCCACGTGGCGGGCGTTTAAACGCGTTTGAACGCGCCACCCGACCGTTTGAAAGCGAACGAGCGTGCGTTCAGACGGTTACACAGGCTGCGCAAAAGGAAAGGAGAAGGAACAATTTCCCATACATCCGCAGGACGCCTAATCCATACATGCCGTTATCCCTGGACTCAGTGATCGGCAACATCCATACTTTCGAGGCAATCAAACAATCAATCGATTTTTGCAACCATCATACACCCTGTGTCGAAAAGAAAGTGTTCAAACTTCAGAGGGATGAGGGAAAAGACAATTCATACATCAACCGACGAAAAGGAAAATCCACAATGGCTGAAAACAAAGATAGTCAGAACCATTACGATTTCGGTCATCATCATAAGGGACACTGAGTCCGGTTCTCAGCAATCTTGGTTTCGTTACTTAGGCTAACAGGAGTCTTCTAGGTTCCTTGTCTCATTTTCACAAATTTTTCTGATGAGGTTTCTGAACGTACTTGCAATGGGACGCTGGTCCCGGTTCCCAGTTCGTGCCTATTTGAGAGGATATGGTTGTATCTATGGGACGCTGGACCCGGTTTCCAGCAGGTGTTGCTCCCCACCAATAGATGGAGCCTGTTTTTCAAAAAAAAAAAAAAAAGGGTAAAAAAAAAGATCAAAATTATACAAAGGATGCGAAGAGATAACATCATAACACCACTTCAACACACCGCTCTCTCTCTCTCTCTCTCTCTCTCTCTCTCTCTCTCTCTCTCTCTCTCTCT